GGTTGCAGAGCTTGCGAAGAGGTGTTTAAGCCTAAAAGGGAAGAAGAGGCCTACCATGAGAGAAGCTTCCCTCGAGCTGGAGAGAATCCGCTCATCTCCTGAGGGAAATGCAGAATTCATCGTTCAAGAAAGCGACGGAGACGAAGAAGATGAGGATGGAGCCACGAAAATCAACGCAGACGGGTCTTGGAGAGTTAACCTTACTGCTCCAGCCTCCGCCTTTTCTACTGGTTCTTCACCAAACATGGTGACCGCAATGGACGTATGATACGGAAAAAAAAAAAACTAAAGATTTTATTACAGCAAAACTAAAGATTTTATTTACATATTTTTGCCGGATAAGTATGAGCAAAAGGAAACCCACAATTCACCGTCCCTAAACCCTAAACCCTTAATCCTATCGATAATCCATAAATAATAAGCGTGTTAGGCTGTAATCGACTAATTAGGCGATAAATCAATCATGAACATAAGAGTCATTGGTGGATCTTTTAATACGTTTGCAAATGTTATCATACGAAATTCATGCAATATTATATCATATGTAATAATGATGTTTCGTTTATATCTTAGTAGGGGTGGGTGCAAGTGGTGCGATCGAAAGGGGCCTCTAAATTTTTTTTTCTTCACAAAAATAATAATTATAACATTAATTTTATATTTTAAATTAATTGAATAAATAACATTTTGATTTGACAAAAAAAATACCAGTGGTTTTAAAATTAGAAATTTTCACCAATATATGGCTATTTATATCTTAAAACTTTTTAATACCAAAGAGTATTCAACTAATATAGTTTCACACGCCTATATCCTAGCAACTTTGGTATGAAAGAGTATTCCAGATATTAAAGTATATAAATAAAATGCTCTTTTCTGATAAATAAATAAAATTTAATTTTCATGTAATATTTATTATGCGTTATCTTTTACTAAAGATGCTTTTGTGACGGTCACTGTGTTTGATGAGGAAACAGCGGTTCAACATCAGTCGACGAAGAAGACGCAGCGACGAATTCAGCGGATGGAGCACTGAAGACAACGTTCCAAGAATCTCCGATGTCAACTCTCACGACTTCGTCCTCTTCGTCTTCCTCGATATTATTGACGAGGAATGGATCTCCGGGAGATGACGATCGAATCCTCTCCAGTCCCATTGAAACTTCCCTCATGCTCGGCCGTTTCTTCCCTTTCAGGTTTAGACACTTCCTCGCAAGCTTTGCAACCGCCATTACTTGCTCGAGCTTAGAATGCTCTTTGATTCGGCCATCGACCATATCGTGGAGTCTGTTCTCTTTCATGGCTTCAATGAAATGAGCTGCCAATCCCCTGTTCTCTTCGGACCTCACTTGGGATACCGGCTTCTCACCGGTTATGAGCTCCGCAAGCACGACTCCGAAGCTATAAACGTCGCTTTTGTCTGTAAAGCGGCTCGACTGGAAGTATTCGGGATCAAGATATCCAAAAGTACCCGCGACCAGCGTTGTCAGATGGGTTTGATCTATGGTAACAGATCTCGAAGTGCCGAAATCAGAAACTTTCGATCGGTATTTCTCATCCAACAATATGTTTGAGGACTTGATGTCTCTATGAAAAACAGGACAAGACGCGGCAGAGTGCAAGTAGGAAAGAGCTCCAGCAATCTCAATGGCAATTCGTAATCGCTCCTCCCAGGTCATCGTGTAATCGTCGGATCCATCGTGAAGATGCTCGAAAAGGTTTCCGTTGGGAATAAACTCGTAAACCAAGAGAGGGACATCTGTCTCGAGGCAACATCCCAAGAGTTTGACGATGTTCCTATGGTTAATCTGGGAGAGAATGACGACCTCGTTGATGAACTCTTCGAGTTTGTCTTCGTCCACGGCTTTGGATTTCTTGACGGCAACGATTCTGCCGTCGAGCAGCATTCCCTTGTAGACAGTGCCTTGGCCGCCCTGTCCCAGCACCCTGTCTCTGCTGAAGTTTTCGGTTGCTTTCTCCAACTCTTTCGAGCTGAATATTTTTGTCTTCTCGACGTTTCCTTCAGTCGCCGAAGTCAGTTGTTGCTGCAACAACAACCCTCCGTTGCGCTTGAAGAACTTCTTCTTGCGGTTTATCCTCTTTCGCCTTTTAACGAATTTGTACAGCCAGCATGTTCCCCCGACTATTACCAAACAAAAACTAAAACTAGCGGCTGCATGATGAAACAAAAATGTGTTGAAGTTATGTTCCAGTTGTGTAGTTCTGAAGGCGAAAAACACCAGATGCAAGTAAAGAGAAAGTTCATCAATGACTTGCCTATTAAAGGTGCGTAAGAGTAAACCTTCTTGTAGCCCCCCGTGCAAGTATATCCTCCGACCGTGTTTACACAACGGGCGTCGATACAGTAACGTCCTTCAAGGCATTCATCAATGTCTGCATAGAAAGATCAATAAAATCCGTACCAAACGATAAATTTTGGATATTATTTGAATTCAACCATAACCAGAGGATGATCTGAGAAGAAACTCGGAAAGAATCAGTTGCCTTTGCACCCTCGGGAAAGGTACGGATTCCCTCTGTAACCTTTGTTGCACCTACAGCTTGCGTAGTTGTTCTTCGATTGATAGTAGCAGCTACAATTTGCCGTGGTTATGGAGCTTTGATCAATGGGTCCATACGAAATCGAGCAATCCGATGGGAGATCCTTCTCATCATCGAGGAGCCATCGCAACTCTAATGTGGTAAATCCATTATGGTGAAACACTTGTGGTTCACTTATGTTCGAAGAGTAATATGTCTGGTCCGTCAAGAAAGCGACTCTGCACCCCTCTGTCGTACCACCGCTGCCGTTCTCTACCCTAACACCGATCACTTGCAGAAGCTGACGTGGTGTCCTTGCCTCACAGCATCTGTAACCGTTGCATCCAGCGCCGTTCACGTCTCGATATCTTCCCAACGCGAGGTTTCTTGCGTCGCAATTCGTCTCGCATCCGACGATGCTTGGCTTGACATTCGTCATCCAGGCTTTGCTGCTGCAACCAACTGTTACGAGCCTATTACCCTCCCCGACAAAGAAAGGGCTGCCTGTAAGATTAATGACTGTTCCCGACAACTCTCCTCCGCTGGAACAACCCGAGGAAGCTATCGGGCTTTTGATGCGAGCCGACAACCCGTACGACGCAACTTGATCATAACTATAACGGTTATGGTCATCAAGAAAGAGAGAAATATTCACAACCTCCTTGTCGATCCCGGGAAGGAACGGGGAAAATTTCCCGGAGGCGGTTTCGTTGCATACAACTTCAAATCACTTGTTCCGATAGCAATCTTCTCCGATCCCGAAAGGGTACGGAATCGGGATATCTCCGCAGCTTCCCGGGCAAGAAGCCGAAATGGCGAGATCTTGATACGGTGTCGCCGCTGCTGAATCACGGATCCGAAGGATTAGCAGAGAGAGTAGCGTCCAGAGAGAGTGGCTCTCTACGTTCATCGTGTCGTGTCTGCTCTCAGAGATTGTTCCATGTGATGCTTTCAGCTGAAAGGAGACGACGTAAAAGGTGTCGGTTTGCTCGTACATGAGCTTCCTCGCCACAAACGTCTCCATCTTGGAAGATTCTTTACTCGGATTACAGAAGCAGACAGGTGGGTGGGTGGGTGATATAAATGACGATACGGCACCACTCGCCTTTGACTATTAAACACCGTAAATAATTTGGCAGAAATTACACTTCTCAACCATTTTAAAATGGGGAGACAAAACATACTTCTCGCTGCGAGTTCAAGCCTTAAGCCTTAAATTAGGAGAGTAAAACGTAATTACAATTACTTTGTTAAGATCGTTGTTACCGATATTAAGATTAGTATGGTTTTCGACCCATAATATCCCGTTAACAAAAAAAAAACTGAAGCTTATAAATCGGTATTGTTGGTGGTTTTGTAATTTAATTATTTGCAGAATACTCCCAAACACCGTATGTATCCATCGATATGGAACATCAAGTGATCAAGAGCATAAAACATACATCAATCCATTACAAAACCTAAGTACTTTACATAGGGAATCTTCAGAAATTGGGAAGTCAGGTGAATTTTTTTTAGTGTTTTTAAATAAATAAAAAATTAGGAAACTTTTTTAATACCGATGATGTCAGAAACTATAAACAATTTTTTTATTTCCTGAAATATTCATCAAATATAGAAAACTAACATTTTGTTATCCACATAATTTTCTCAAACTTGATCAAAATTAGGATTCACACCCTATTTATTAGTCATCACATTTATACTCTATAATAACCAACGTTATAAAATCTAAAAATTTAAATAATCTAATCACCATCAATTTAGAATAATTTATAAATATTCCAACGATAGTTTGGAAAACCTCGTCGATCTTTCCAATCTCCGAGTACAACAATCCAAGCAGAGAAGGTAAAAAACAATTTTTTTTTACAACAAGAACAAGAAGTCCACCCTTTTGTCAGATCTTAGGGCAACCGATTTAGAACAGACCCTAAAGAACATTTCAGAACTGATGGAACAAGATTCAGCGGCTCGATCATTGAGATGCATACCAAAAAAAAAAAAAAAACTTATGCATATCTC